TACTTTTCGAACCATTTCTGCTGATGATTTCTTCCGTCCACTTCCTTGGCGTCGCTACCAGTATCACGGTAGCTAGCGATGGTATGAGACACAAAAGATTTATTTACATTTAAATGCTGGAGTGCCTTAAACATAGCCACTTGTGGTTTTCCAGCCAAATATAAATAAATCACACTATCACGCTTGAATTCCATCACGAATAACTTTTTTTTTGGAAAATTCTCACCAAAATGCCTTTGTACGCTTCAGTGGAATTATATTAACTGCTGTCGGACGAGTGGTTTGGAAATGACAGCAGTCTGAAGTTGGTTGCAGTTTTTTCATCTCACCCTGTATAAGAGAGAGGCAAGAGTCCTGAAATGGCTTCTGCCCAAAACCACATTGGATCTAAAGCTGTTATAAGATACATTTTGACTATGTTAAAGTCAAATTTCTTGACTTAAAAATGTATAAATGTATATTATTTCTAGTCCTGTTCAGTTGAGGAGTATGGTCAGGGCTTTGCTAACAACTTTGGTCTGGCAATACATTCCAAAAACCAGCCATTCTGCAGCAGCCTTTAGAGGCTGGAACCAGTATGTGGAGTTGTAAATTTTGATTGAAAGCATTAAAATGCCAAAAATGTATCCTACCGCTATATGGGAGCTATACCGGGTAGTGGACCTATATTAAACATTTTCTGCTGGGAATATTTATTTTCTCTGAGAGTCTGAAAGGTGAAAGCACAGAAAATTTGAAACTTTCAAAATATTTTAAGTTGGTTCCACATTTTTATTGAAGTTATACACAACAGTGGACCCGCATTATGACGAGAGGTTACACCTGGTGAAAAATCGAAATATGAAATTGAAGTTTGGGCTATTTCTAAACTTGGGCCGATAAGACCTTTTTCATCACCAATCTTTCGAGACAGAAAACTAATTTTTTGGTCATATTTCGAAGCTCTATATAAAATATATGACTTGATAACAATAGGCAAACCGACTAACGAAGATAGACATCAATTTTATGTTTATCGACAATTTATACATTAAGGGGTCTCCGAAGAATATTTTGAGGCAATACAAACCGAATGCCAAAATGTTTTTTACAACCTGGGGGGATGGTCAAAGATGAAAGTGACCGCACCTCAAACTCCCATGGATCACGGAAAAAATATTTTTCTTTACATTTTTTAAAGGTGTTTCCCCTTAACCTCTCTCACCCCCCAATTAGAGGTAAAACTGTTCATAACCATATCTCAAACTCCCCGGTATACCAACCAAACCCAGCGACTCCAAATGTTTAACATCTGTACATTTGTATGTACACAGCTATATTTTGACTACTGGATTTTTTATCTGCAACCGTTTGCTGTTGTTATTCAAGCATTTTTGTTGGTGTTGTTCTATTTTGTTTATCACAAAACATTTATCGATAAAATAAATTGTCACAACACTTTGCTGTAGAAAAAGAGTTCCTAACCGAAATGAAAAAAACAAGACTTCTTTATCTCTAACAAATTTTGGTATCAATTATAAAATTCTTTCAGTCATACAAATTGTTCAAAAATATTTGAAATTGTCCGGGGAAATTATTTCCGATACAAATTTGAGTTTGGATGTGTTGTGAGAAAAATCGACAACGTCATGGTTACTCATTGCGTGAGCAAAACTCAGGATGCAAAGTCCAAAAAATTGATGAATGGGGAGAGGGTTATTGGGCTCTTCAGAGTTGTTTTGAAAAAAAAAAAAATTAAGCAAAGTTTTGAAATTCCCGTGCAATATCTATGACTAATGTTACGAAAAGGATTTCAGGTGGATACCGAGCAAAGTATAACCACTAATTTCAGGTCACAGGTCTTTGTAAAAAAATGGGGTTGTATGTAGTCGATCTTGATATGTCTGTCTGACTGTGTGCACGACAAAATTTGGTACATATCAAATTTAGATCGAGTTCGGAGATATGCAAAATCGACCATTTCCTTCTGAGACCTACCCCACAGAATGTCAAAATTTTGAAAAATTAAAACTTTCGTAAAATGTAAAATAATTAACTGATGTTTCTTCGCACAATGCAATAAACCTTTTTTAATTCCGGAAAAATAATGTTTTTTTTTGCTGGCTGGAAATTTTTAATTTTCATACTAATGTGGCAAAATTACTTTATTTTTAAAATCGGGGTTTTTTGAACTTTTAAAATCCATCAATAATGATATTGTATTTAAGTAAAGTGAGTAATTGTTGATTATACGCTACAGGTGGTCATATCGACGTTGGACAGCAGAGGGAGCTCAATATCGTAAAATGTGGAATATCGTAATATTTCTAGCAGGCGAAGATCAGGTGCGAATATCGATCTGCTGCTTTTGGCATAAGAATTCAGAGTATGAGGATAGAATCTTTATGGGTCCACATTTAAATATTTCTAAATCACATTTAGGTCAGTTGCGCAAATGGCCAACTCCTTTGGTTTACTGCCTTAAAAACTTTTTTCAAGAAAATCCTGACCATAAATTTTATTTTGAGGGTACTTTTTTCACCGATCCCCCGGATATATTAAGGACCTCTTGACAAAAACAAGTGGATCTTTTAAGAACATTTTTTAGTTTTCTCATGACCTGACTTTTTAATGATTTTTAAGGGCATCCTGACCAAAAATCGTGAAATAATAAAAAGAAGCTTTAGATGCAAACTCGTGATTTAAAAAATAATATTTTTTCAAGAAGATTCAAGGACCTCTTTTTTAAAGATGACGATGTTAGATGATGTTTTTCCAAGGAAGTCCTTACATGAAATAGCGGGAAACATTTTTTAGGAGTCTTCTGACCAAGAATCGTGGACTTTTAAGAAGAAAAAAATTAAGGACATTTGTTATCGTTCCTTAATGTTTTTTTCTTTTTGAGAAAAAAATATTCATGGCAACCTTATCAAAAGGAGCTGTTTCTGAGAAACTGCGTCCTGGAATTTTCAAGAGAATTATGTCAAGAAATCAGTGAATTTATGTGAATTTTTGGAGAAAATACTTTGAGAGATCTCCTTTTAAGGACATTATGACCAAAAATCGTTATTTTTATTTCTGGAGACAGTCGATGAAAAAAATTTTTAAAGAATTTTTTTTTCAAGAACGTTGTGAGCTACATTTTTTGGACGTATAAGAAAATGTTTCAAGGACCTCTCGTGCTTTTTGGGAGACACTGTTTTACGGACCTTCAGTCCAAACATTTTTTTTAGGAAACATCCAGTCATCGGAGGATTTATAGAAATATTTCTTGACTAAAACTCGTGAGCGTTTTCTTTAAGAACGTTCTGAACAGCAATGGAAAATCGTGGTCAAAATCTCTTTGACTAAAAACCCTAGCTTTGGCCAAAAATCGGATATTTTTTTAAGAAAACTATTTCAAAAACCAACCTTTTTTTCACAGCACAAAAATTGATTTTTAAAAAAATAAAATCAAGGATAAATGTTTACGGGATTTTTAAACAAAAAATTTTGTTATTTTCAGAAAAAAAATTTCCAGGAACTGAAGGAACGGACATTTTTTAAGAAAATATAGTTCAAGGACCTTCTTCTGAATTCTTCCATTAATATGTTTAATTGTTATGCGGAGCTCTACTAAATTAGTAAAATGGTGTAGGGTATCATAAAGTCGGACACACCCGACTTTAAGACTTTCTTTACTTATTTGTTTTCAAGGATCTTCCTATCATTTCTGAGGTAATATGTATTTTTAACAGCCTCTAGACAAAAAAATATTTGTTTAAGGGTCTTCTAACCTGAAATTGTTAAAGATCTCATATTTTATTTTATCCAATTTTCGGTGGACATTTAAGGATCATTAAACCAAAAAACAAGAATTTTGTAGAAAAAATTTTCCAAAAATCTTTTGATTAAAAATCGGCCAATGTAGGACAACATTAGTTCAAGGACCTCATGAATAAAAACGTAAATTTTAAAGAGATTTTTTTTAACTTTTACAATTTTTAAGAACTTTATGTCCGAAAAATGTCCTAAAAATTAGGAATATTGAGTTTCTTTAATTTCAAGGAGCTCATGACTAAAAATATCCCACTTTAAGTAGGAGTTTCGAGGATTTGCTAACCAAAGAAACAGACATTTCTAAGAACTGATTTTCCAAAAACGCTTGGACCAAAATTAAGGACCTGGATTCCTAAATTTTTTACAAAAGTTTGACTGAAGATTCCGAATCTTTTGACCAAAGAAAAAAAAACAACGATTTATTTAAAAAAAAATATTTTGACCAAAAATCATCCTTTATCATTCCCTTGTGAAAATCGTGATTTTTGAAAAAATAAGAGTTTTACAACTTTTTTCGAATTTTTCCTCAAGGACATCAAGTCTTGTTTTTTCGAGGATTTATTTTTCAAAATATGTTTTAAGAAATTCCCTACTGCATATTTATTTTAGATTTTTTATTACTAATATTACTTGAAAATATTTTTCCGAAGTTCTCGATTCCTCCCCAAAATAAAATTCATGGCTTGTGAAGTGTCGAAGAGTGGTTACCGTCATATGGGGACTATACGATATCTTGACTCCAAATTTGACCTGCCTGCAGGCAAAAGACTGATCTGTGCAAAATTAATTCGTTTTGGCTCTAGCGCGATTACAACAGACTGAAGAAGGGACAGGACGAAATCGTCTTAGAATTTTACGCTGATCAAGAATTTTTATACTTTCTTAAGTCTAAAATTATTACTTCGATGAGTTACAAACGGAATGACGTACTTAATATACCCTCTATACCATGTATGGTAGAGGGTATAAACGCGACTAATTTATGTGCTGATTTAGTGTAGGGTAATTCCGGCTTCATCTTAATCCCTACAGCCTAATTTGGCAAAATTATCGGTTTAAAATATTCGTTTAAAATATTTGATTTAATTGCAAAAGTCAATGAGGCATTTAAATTTATATTTTCGATACAAATCCATTTCATACGTAAATTGTTGAATTAAAAATAAGCAAAATTCTCAGCCCTCATTCCATTCGATTTGTAGGCCAATTTATGGTCGTTATCCCAGTCATTCGTTTGCCATGAAAGGCAATCTAATTTTGGTACTGGCCTTTATAATTTTCGGTTCAGCGTTTGCCTTGAGAGCCAAAATCACCCGGGTCGAATGCAAAGAATTCGACAAGGCCTTTGCCTCGATTACCAAATGCTATTTGAAGGCTTTGTCACGTTACAAATCGGCGTTTAGCCTTTATGTGGCGCTGCATCAAGTGCCGGTGGACAATGTTACGGTAAGGGAGTGCAATCAATGCTTGAAAAATATTGAAGTTTCAAAATTTCCTTTTTTGCAGTTCAATGCAGCCCTCTTCCGCAAGGGCAACAATGGCTATTGCCCCTTTATGTACAACCACACCGTGGACTTTTGTCGTTTTTACAAAAATCCCAATCGTTTTATGTTTTGGAAAATTGTCTTTTTCAACATCGTGGCGCCAGCTTCGAATATCAATCACACCTGTCCCTATGATGTAAGTGGGTAGATGGAAGCCCATCTAATTAGAGACACCCAATAATGTTTGATTTTTTCTTTTGGTTCCAGCATGACATTATTTTGGAGAAGCTGGTGTTGGACAGTGAAATGTTTAAGTTGATACCCTTCCCAGCGGATGAGTACATGGTGAGGGTCAAAATTGCCGCCTACAATCATTATAAGGCGGAAATTCGTGCCTACATACAAATCTCAGAATAAGTTGGGTGAAAAGGAGAGGAAGGGAATGGTGTATTTTTAGTGGGTTGGAGAAAAATTTACAAAACTTGAATAAAACACCATTCTGGCAAAGTCCATCTCCAAAAGTCTGAATATTTTCGAAAAATCCTTGAAAACAAATTTATTAAACTTTTAATATCCTCCACCATTTTGAAAAATCTTGAAAATCTCAAAAAAAAAAAAAAAAAAAATGCGTCGTAAAATACCGCTTAAATGAAACCCGGTATATGGGGGCTATATAAACACATGGACCTGCATAAGTAATTTTTTGTCACAGGCTGTAGTAGTATACAAAATTGGGAACAATTTCGTTGAATAATGTCGCTAATATTATCAAATGAAAAACAATTCTGGCGAATAATGTTGCTAATATCATCAAAATGCGAAATAAAGGGAGGTACGGTTATATGTGGGCTATACGACGTGGACCTGCATAGACAATTTTCCGTCACAGGTTGTAGTACTCATTCTGACCTTCAAACTTTAAAGACGAAATTTGAAACAACTTCGGTCAAAAATGTCGCCATGGGGGCTATACGATATCGTGGGCTCACTTTCAGTGGCTAAAGTACTCAAAAGGAACTCCCTGTGTGGATTTTCAGAAAATTCCATTGAAAAATTTGGCTACAATTATCAAAATACCGAATATGTGGCGGATATACGATATCGTGTACCAGGGGGTAGAGTACTAAGAAGGAACACCTTGCGTGGATTTTGAGACAATTCCGTTGAAAAATGTGGCCAACCTCATCAAAATACCGAATATCGGGAGGTGCCCTTATATGGGGGCTATACGATCTCGTGCACCAATATAGACAATTCACTTCCATTGAGCAAACTACTCAGAAGAACATCCTGGTGTGGATTTTTAGACAATTCCATTGAAAATGTGGCTACAATCATGGGATATATACGATATCGTGGACCTATATAGACAATTCTCTTACAGACGGTAAAGTACCTATAAAGGACTCCTTGTGTATAATTTCTGACAATTCCATAAAAAAATGGAGCTAAAATCCTCAAAATACGGAATATAGGGAGACAAAATACTGATCTGTGCAAAATTTTAGCTTCCTATCTTTATTCGTTTTGACTCTAGAGTGATTACAACAGACGGACGGGCGGACGGAGGGATGGACAGGGCTTTTGGTGAGAATTTTCCAGAATAAAGTTATTCGTGATGGAATTCAAGCGTGATAGTATGATTTATTTATATTTGGCTGGAAAACTACAAGTGGCTATCGTTAGAGCACTCCAGCATTTAAATGTGAATAAATCGTTTGTGTCTCGTACCAGCGATCGTTACCGTGATACTGGTAGCGTAGCCCGGACGGAAAACAGCAACATCAACATATATGGTTCGAAACGTACAAAGCGACTTGATTGAAACCCGTGTCGCAGTGACCGAAATTTGGAAAATTCGGCAAATATTGAAAAATGAGCTCGGGGTAAAGACATTGAAATTCCAAAAAGTGCAAGAACCTACACCGCAACTGAAAGAAAATAGACTCAAAAGAGCTAAAGAGTTGCTTCATTGGCAGAAAGTGGTGAACTGCCGATTAGTGGTTTTCTCCGATGAGAAAACATTCGTTGTCCAGCAGTTTGTAAACTTGTGTTTACTTGCCAAAGAGGTCAGGTGAAAATGTGCACCTTCGGTTGGCCACCAGAACTCAAGCGCCGGCCGTGGTGATGGTGTGGGCCGCCTTAACAGTCGTTGGTCGCTCTCCGCTCGTATTAATCGACCATGACATCAGAATAAATGCCGAATATTATTGCGAAAATATTCTGGAGGGTGTATTAAAGCCTTGGGCACGCAAACATTTTGGGCGCAGACCTTGGACATTCCAACAGGACTCAGCACCATCGCACTCAGCACGCGCCACCCAAGAATGGTTACAAAATGAGGTTCCTCGCTTCATTTCCAGCGCACAATGGCCACCAAAATTTCCATCTCCGGATACCAATCCGTTGGACTATTGTGTCTGGAGTAGGTTGGCACTAAAAATACCAAAGGGTCGATCACCTCAAGCAAGCGTTTCGCCGAAATGGGCTGAAATATCGCAGATCAATAATCGGGCATCGTGTGACGGTTTCATTGGCCGTTTGAAGGCCATAATTCGTGCCAAAGGTGACGAATTCGAACAAATCTAAACTAATTCTAAAATTTGATGCTATTCCTGAATTTTTTTGCTTTCAATAAAATTTCAATAAAATTTAAAAAATATGACGTTGGGCTTTGTTGCAGTTTTTTATCTCACCCTATAGTTAAAATCATCAAAATACCGAATATGGGCAGGTACCAGACAATTTTCTATTACAGGCTGTGGTACCTATTAGGAACTTCAAATACGAAATTTCAAACAATTTCAGTGAGTGTTGTACCTAAAATCGTCAAAATACCGAATATAGGGGCTACTGATATATGGGGCCTACACGAAGACCTCGACCTGCATAGACAATATTTTGCCTTTGGCTGTAGTTTCCATTAGGAACTTTAAATACGAAATTTGAAACAAATCCGGTGAATAATTTCGCTAAAATCATCAAAATATCGCATATAGGGAGGTGCCAATACATGGGGGATATACGATATCGTGGACTTATATAGATAATACTCTTTCAGGGGGTATAATGCTCATAAGGAAGTCCTTTTGTTGCTTTTTTAGACAATTTCATTGAAAAATTTGGCTACAATCATCAAAATACCGAACATCGGGGGGCACCGTTGAATTGGGGCTAACCTAAACGTGGACCTATATAAACAATTCTCTCCCAGAAGTTAAAGTATACCAAGGGAACACCTTGTGTTTATTTTCAGACAATTTCATTGAAAAATGTGGCTAAAATCATCAAAATACCGAATATCGGAAGGAACCGTTATATGGGGGGCTGTACGATATCATGGGCCGATATAGCCCATCTTCGAAGTTGACCTGCCCCCATACTTTGTATGGTGAAGTGTATAAAAACACTAACCACGCTTTGTCAAGACTCCTGCAGTAACAAGCCTGCCTAATTGTATATGCCAAACCGAGCAACATATGTATGTGACCGACTGTATCAAGTGAATGAGAATTATTTGCCTTATGCTATCAATGGCATATTACCGAGAACTGAACTGTTAGGTACCCTGCCAACAAATACTGGTGTGGTATGGTTGATGCTGTTCTCATTGGTATCTCCGCATGATTTCGTGTTCTTTCTGTTGACATTGTTGTTGTAACTATTGTTGTTGCTGTTACTCTTTATTAAGACTATTTCAATAGTGCTTGTGAAATTTTGCTCTTAACAGAGTTCTTTCCGGAATTATAACGTAGATCGATAATGAATAATAATTTGTAAATTTGGGTAAATACCCCATTCGATAACCTTCACAAGAACAAAGCCATTTTGTCTCTGAAATAGAACAAATAAACTTCTTTATGATTTATTTCTTTTTTTTATAAATTCCATTTATCAATTTGTGATGTTCGACCAATGATAAATGGGCCAAGATTAAAGCTATAATTTTATTTGGAAATTCTTAGAAATGTTTTGGGGGGAGGTAAGGCGAGAATGTAGGAGTTTCTTGCATTGTTCATTTCATTCAATATTTTATTTTTTCAATTGAAGTGCAATCTCTTGCGGTTCTTTTTTTTTATTTCCTTCCCTGGCTGGTTGGCCACTTTATCATCTGATAAAGAAGAAATTACTTTCTTTTGGCTTTCGAAAGTACTTAAGAGGCATTGAGATTCGTTTGGACTTCTTCAATATCATTTCTGGCTCTTTTATTCCGAGAAGAGAAAAAGAGGAAAACAATGATTAGATATGAGAGTGGAATTGGAAAAAGAAATACCTATTTGCGGTGCGTTATAGAAATTTCGTTGTTTTCTTATGACTGAATAAATGCCTGTTTTGGTTTTGGAAATCTAACACGTGAAGCTCTCCTACCAAGCTATTGACGAAGTCCAGGCCATTTATCAATGTTGGTGCTGGTGCTGCTGCTGCCATTGCCTTAGATAAGTTATCTACAAAGATTTGTCATAGCTATTTTTGGTCAGGTGGTTGTGGTCAATCATCTATCGACATCTTGAAATATTTTTGATGAAATAACAATAAAGAAAAAAAAAAAAAACAAAAACAAGCAAGCATGAAATAAGCAATTAGATTGGGATTTCCAGGGCGGGTAATTTATTAGCTGTTTTTTCGAATGAAGCAAAACAAATATCTTTGATAGCACCTGGCCTTATTAATGATATCTATATTTAAAAAAAAAAAATTGGAAGGAAAGAAAATGACAGAATTGATCGATATTTGGAATTCGAGGAAAATTCAAATGTAGGTCAGAGAAGCTGCGTAATGTGTTTTAGACTTCAATATACCTGAAATGTAAGTTTTCCTCTTTTTGCCAAATTTGTTAGATATCAGTAGGAATAAATTGAAATGGGAATATTTGAAATATTAACAAATAAAAAACAAGTAAGCAAAGGCTAAAGTCGAGCGGGGCCGACCGTTGAATACCCTACAACACTATAATAAACGATACTGTTTGTATAGGCGAGATACTCGAAAGAATTCCTCAAGATATTGTGACAAATAATAAAAGAAAACAATCAGGTTTCGTTCTCTAATTTTCGAATAATAGCAACTTAAACTAATTTGCTCATTTCCAATTTATTGGTAGATGTTGCACTTAAATGGTCTTCCTAGATCTAGAACCAGTATTTCCCAAAGACCTATAATCTCTCAGAAGTGGCAAAAGATTAACATTTATTATTGGTTTTTGACTGAAACGCATCTATATGAGATACAGATATTTGACTATATTCTTCCACGAAATCAGCGTTAACGAAATAGTCAGAAGTTCGTCTTTCCTGTATTTGTGAATTCTCCAAAGAGTCACTGGAATGGACATTTTCGTATTTTGTCTACAAATGTTGGCAAACTATTTCGCACATTGAATATTTTTGGATGGCCATCCAAAACAGCTTGGCTTTTGCAATGTCCGGTAACCCCCATTCAAATGTGCGTGAGGATCGGGCGATAATTACGACATGCTGTCAATTTTGTAGTTTTTTGGTCCATTTCAACCCCTAAATATATTGCGATCATCTCCAAAAAGAGACTATTATGACCCTCATCTTATACCCATGCAAAATTTCGTAAGGATCGGGCCTTAAATGCGATCATGATATCCTGATATCCTAACTACTTAGTTTTGTTAGCTGT